CCCCAAGGGAAATTACACAACGTTATGAGGCAGTCTGTGAAAAATATATGGAAAGTTTTTCATTTTTGAAAAATACGCAAATATTTCTCTATACAATCATAAAGTATGGAAATATTGATCATTTCATCCTGTTCATCAAAATACCAGATTATTTATATCTTTGATTACTATAGGCAAGGGGTTTTATTACTTAGTAAACACATTTTTCCAGGAAAAACATTTTAAAGCATGGGTTAAAGGGAGGGTAGGAGAAAAACAACAATGGTAAGCAGAACTTGACATTGCACAAGTAGAATGAAGGTAGTTATGGGAAACTAGGGCCTTTTTAAAAACTTCTTATTGGTAGCAGCAGGGAGCTGTGTCTCCCCCACCATCCCCTTTTCTGCTATCACCTCCTACCTGGTGATTATATTGCTCTGTGTCCTCCATCCTGGTGAATGTGGGCATCTAGGAAGACCCTGTGTGGTTCCTTTGCTTGACTGGCATAGGAACTTGTGCTTATTAAAAAAGGAAGTAATATGAATACTAGCAAATGTTTTAAGTAGCTTTATTTTATCAGGGATTGGGTAAAAAGGATTAGTTGAATGGTGAAGGATGGAATCTATATTTTTCTGGTGGTTAGGATAATGTGGTATATACAGATGCTGATTTTTAATGCTATACACATTTTTAAAGTATGTTAAATATTTTTAAACCTATATCATTCTTTAAACCAAGGTAACTTCAATAAAATCTAAAACAAGTTCCTATTTCCTTTTGCATGAATTTGTCTTTAAATGTTATATGTAGACTACGACTTCAATTCAAACTGTCTTTCCATAAAACAATAAGGAATAACAAAGATATTTCTTGTCTCTTACATTTTAGAAAAACAAAAGGCCTTAAGCTATACAAAAAATTCTTCAGGAAATCCTAAACAGGTGCCAAATCTGAATGTGACATTAAATAGGAAACATGAATTATGGAAATCAGCTAACCTAAGCTATCAGAATTAAAGCTCACCTGAAAACAAACTCCTTAAGAACATCACACATTCATTTATTTCTGTTTTTTCCCCCCACTGTTGTTCAGTAATTCTAGGACTGTTTTCTCACAATTGAATTAAGAGTCAGTGAGAGTCTACTATATGACAGGTACCCCGTCAAAATAGTTGTTTCTGTTATGTCCCAATGTGCCACACCCTGTGTGAAATGATTTATATAAATCTTACATCCTGAGACTTAAAAGAGGATGCAAATGCCAAGACAGATAAGATATGAGCCTGGGACTTTTTGGTTCAGGGTGAGGGCAGGTGGTGGTGGCATATAAAACTAACTCTTGGTCACTGCATACAGCAATGACAAAAAAAAATTCATTGGGAACTAATGCAAATTATCTGAAGACCATTGCGTGCAAACAGTGGGGCAGCAACTGAAAACTCCTGTTATATCCTTGCAAACATCCCTCCCCTGGTTCCAAGGAGACAATAACAGTGCCCACAAGAAATATCTTTGTTATTCCTTATTGTTTTATGGAAAGACAGTTTGAATTGAAGTCGTAGTCTACATATAACATTTAAAGACAAATTCATGCAAAAGGAAATAGGAACTTGTTTTAGATTTTATTGAAGTTACCTTGGTTTAAAGAATGATATAGGTTTAAAAATATTTAACATACTTTAAAAATGTGTATAGCATTAAAAATCAGCATCTGTATATACCACATTATCCTAACCACCAGAAAAATATAGATTCCATCCTTCACCATTCAACTAATCCTTTTTACCCAATCTGCTCACAATAGGAAATTAAATGAACAAGCATGTCACAAAGAAGAGATGCAGGGTAAATAACCAAATGAGGAATATGTTATTCATATGCATCAATTCCTAACAGTGTGGTTTCAAACGACAGGGGCCCAGTTTCTATGAAAACATTTTTGCTAACTATGTCCTATACCATCCACTAATCTCACCAAGCCAGGTTCAGTGCAGACATGGTAGAGCCTTTTTTCTGCCTCTTCAGGAACATTGGGGTGGATTTGAGACCTTAGTTTCCTTCTCAGTCAAGGCCAAAAACCACTAACCTGGTATTTAAATTTTTAGGTGTTTATACCTTAGAACAAACTCCCTTATTCTGTGAATCACAGTTTCATGCAAAACAGAGCTTATTATAATGCCATAAACATTAGCAGAATTCCCCTCAGATTACTTAGGAAGTAGTGCTTAATTCCAGCCTAATAAAATATCATATTAAGGTACTTTCATACTTTCTCTTTTTAAGGCTCTGTATTTCTCAATGAGTGATTTCATATCGTCCTAATATCCAGTTAGGTGAAATAAAGCAACGAGGAAATTTTGGCAAGTCCTGAATCCATTACAGCTGATATTAAATAACTCCAGAAAATAACAATTTTCCATTTGGGCTGATGCAAAATACGTAAATTTAATAAGCACTGTGGCTGAAGGAGCTTGCATACCAACAAAGTGACTCTTTACTCTGAAAATGCTGGTCTGGTCGGTTTTAGGAAAATAGATTCAATGTTCTTACTCCTGTTCATTTAAAAAATGGCTTTCTTTTGATAAAGCTTAATTGATTTCCTGTATTGCATTAACAGTAATATTTCTTATTATGTTTTTCAAAGAAGAAAATATGCACATTTGCCCTTTAAATTATGCTCCTAAAGCAAGCACTTAGCTTTGATGGCTTACAAGTATATTATGGTCTCTCTTTAGATTTCTTAAAATAAACATGGAGCCCTAGATGATAGCAAATGAGAGAGGGAAAAGGGACACTGTCTTATTTCATCCACAAACAAGGGAATCTAAAGTAAGGATTTTCTCAGCTGAGCCTATTAATATGCGCTGAGCACACGCAAGTATGGAGTAGATTTCTTTTGAAAATAGAATTAATGTTAGTTTCTCCATTATGAAGCAAATGCTGGGAAGCAAAAATTCTTCTACTAGGAGGCATCTGAGGTCCCAGCACATTCTTCAAGGTCTCCTTTGGGGTTCCACAGGATGGGTTGAGGGCTGGCTCAGTCTGGTACTGTCCTGGAGTGAGCCAAGAACCTAGGTTCAGCCCTGGAGTTAAGCCAACTAGGCCTTGCAGACTCTTCTCAAAGCAAGATGGTTTGGAACCTTGGACTCTATTACAGTGGTCAACAAGCTACAGTACTTGAGCTGAAGCTGGCCCATTGTTTGCTTTGTCAATAAAGTTTTAATGAAACACCGTCAAATGCATACATGTAGAACATGGTTTTTCATGCTAAATGGCAGAGCTGAGTAGTCCACAAAGCCTGAGATATCTACTGATCCTTTACCAAAAAAAAGTGGTTGACTCCTGCTCTATGGAAATCTGGCATGAATGGTCACTTCTATGCTCTATCTAGAACCAAATCCATAGCAAGCAAAACCCCACTGTTGCATTCCTACTTTCATACCAAGTTTTGCCATATTCATGTGGCTCAGGAGGGTATGTTCTTTCATACCCAAATTATCATGGAGTATAGAGGCAAAACCAATAGCATGGGATCCCACATTATCCTTCATCAGAGAGGGACACTTGTCCTAGGTTTGCAGTATGGTTATCTGCTGTCTGACATTCTCTGTGCTCACACACACCTGCAGCTGCAAAGATATGCCATCACACCTCTGGCTGAGATTCTCATCTCTGGTTGAGATTCCCACTCATAAACATGGAGGCTATAGCTAAAGTAGAACTATCCAAATTTCCCACAAAATGGGAAGTTTTATGCCATAGGTATGAGATTTACATGGGGAAGAATTTTGGCTGAGGTGGCAGTGAAACAGAAATGGGAGTGGGACCTATACTTGAGGAATAAGATAAGGAAGAGAATATGGGATGTAATTCTAAAGCCCTCGCTTCTTATAGGCGAGACTCACTCTGGTTTGCCCTTTCCGGTTTTGCTGCATGAGGAGCCCAAGCACAGGTGGGTAGAGTGGCAGGGCAGTGATTCTGAGAGATGTAATGTTATGGTCACTGAGTTCTAAATGTTCTGGAGGGCTGAGTGGCAACTTTCAGTGGCTTCAATATGCTTAGATCTACTGGGAAAGGGTTCTTGCTCTATACATTTAGTTTATCACTAGGTAAGGAGGTTACTAATGGATCATCAAAGGTCAGGCTGTACCCAAGACTGGCAGAAGTCTATGGGTATCTGCCCTATTGCCATAGTAACCAAAGGACAGTGACGGGCCTGGTGCTTGGCTGGAAGGTAGAGGGCTGAAGTTGTCAACTGACAGTCATGGGTTGATTCCAGTCAGCAGACATATTTGGACTGGTCCTTGAGACCTTAATATTCCTGTAAATTAACAGGAATATCAAAGTAAATGCTAACATTTACAAATATGGACATTTCATTTAAAATCTGGATTTCCAACTTGCATATTCGAATGTTGTCAGTGATTGACTAGAGTGGAGGAATGGTTTCTTCTCTTCAGACAGAACCTAGTTCTCCAGTTTTGTTTATTGCTTTTCCTTACTCCCAACCTGCTTTGCAACCACTGCTCAGTGAATTGCAGAAGGAATTCGTGCTAATGCAACCTCAGGTTCCTCGGGGGTCATCTGTCTCTCCTTTTCTCTTGTTAAGAGTTTCTCCAGCTCACATTACCTTTTATGATCTGACTCTACTGCCAAATGGACTAAACAGCCCACTTTTGGGAAGATGCCCTGACTTGATGGTCTCTAAGTATGCAGAGTTGTTTATTACATTGTTCAGAATGTCATGTAAACAGCATCAAGGATGGTTTTAGGATGGCTAAAAACTAGCCTTTCACTGAAATGGTCATTTTCTCTGTATCATGTTTGTGATGATGATCATCTCAGAGTTTCTGAAGTCAGGAACATTTTCAAGGATGTATTCACAGTGTGTATTTGCATTAATGACACTTGTTGGTTTGGAAATAATTTTAAGATTCTCAGGTCTTTTAGGAACCCTGTATTTCTCTTTAAGTGGAACAAAATTGGAGACACACAAAGAAAATTAAAAAAATATATAGATACCTGTCATACTGTTGGGAGTCATAGGTTAGTAATCATTCTGGACCCTTTTTTTCACTGACATCTCCTACAAAGAAAAAAAGACAAGAAAAAAATGCCACAGGTTATGATTGGCATTTCTATAACGTTTTTGTTCCAAATGATATCACAAACATTCATTAGTGTGGGGAAATTGAAGCATAGGTGGGTTATGTGATAAGTGTAAGTTTATAAGACCTTTTATCTCAGGGTTCCTTCTATCAATATGCCTTTACAATAATATTTTATTCAATATCACACATCTATTTTCTATTTGTCCATCTCAAGTGTAAAGAAAACTACCAGTACAGTGACTTGCTGTTTTCCTCACAAGTGGCTTAGCTGTACCACCTTCTTTAATTGGGACCCTTGCTGTCAAAATGTGGTCTCTGGACCAGTGGTTTCAGCATCACCTGGGAGCTAGTTAGAAAAAGAAACTTGGGTCCTTTCTCAATCGTGTTCAATCCTGCATTTGGACAAGATCCACAGGTGATCCATGTGCACTTCAAGGTCTTGGATACATTGCTCTAGAGAGTGTAATCCACATCCTCATCTTTCTCTTTGTGACTTTCTCTCAGTCAGCCCTGACCTCTTCTCCCTCACCACTCATCCAAGAGCAACAGACAGACTTGGTCCCCAGATGAGGGATGGAGGCACTGTGGGCATCAGTGAGCTGAGGTGCGCCCACTGAGGGAAGGATGTTGAAAGGTACACAAAGTTGGATGACCCAGAATGGCTGATGTACACAGGGCAGAGTCCTTCAGAACACTGCGGGGAACAGATTGGGGCTAGGTATCTTTTTCTAGAGGTGGCTTCTACATTCAGGGGTAGATAGGGGCAGTAAAGAGTCCTAGGAATAGCACTGAAGTCCAAGGCATGGGCCTGGGGGTGAATGCTGTCACATACTAGCTGTGGGATCATGATGGTCATTTCAAAGCACAGGAATGTCAATTTCTTCATGTGTAAATAATATTTGTTCTACTTATTTCCCAGGTCTGATGATTCTGAGGTTTAAAGATAATATGAATGAAAGTACTGGGTAAACCATAATGTTTTCTGCATATGAAAGTCACTGGATGTGGAAGGAAACATCTTAGTGTTAAATAACTCCTTGGAGAAGAGGAAGTGTGCAGATTATGTTCACAGCAGGGATGTCTATATGGCCATTATTGCCTGTGTCCACATCTAATACTACAGCACTGAATTCATGCCTGGATCATAGTTCTTATCATACCTGGGATAAATATGTGTTTATATGGCTGCCTTTCCCACTAGACTGTGATTGCTTTATGGCAGGGATAATGTTGTTACCATTTTTATATCATCCATGTTGACCAGAGTGTCAGATAGACCGTATGGTTATAGAGGTATCGAGACACCCTAAGATGAGAGCACAGATCGTTCCTATAGGATTGAGTGTCCAGACTCTTGTTCTTCCTAGATACTCATCTGCAGTTAGCCTCCACCTTGCAGTCCATGGAAGCTGCCATGTTTTCACATGACGTTGCTCTTGAATGTTGTGGAGAGAATGAGGAACTTGGCTCAACCTGGGTTAACCACAATGCTCTACCTTTGGTCAAAATGATTCAAGAATGGAGGTGGGCTAATAAGATGTTTTTCAGGATGTTTGCAGAGAAGAAGAGATAGAGGAATGGAGGATAAGAAAGGGAGGGGAAGAAGGCTATTTAGTCCCTTTTTGTTGGCAGGATTTATCAGAAGTTAAAATCCTAAAACTGCTTGAGGCTATGTTTCCCTCAGCCTCTGGGGAAAAGCCTGTCTGAAGGTAAGAAAGAGGATCAAGTTGACATTCACAGAGCACCTGAGGTGTAATGAGAATGCTATGGCCTCAAACCTCACTTTGAGTTCTCCTTGGGCCAAGCCGTGCCTTTTCTTCCCTCTAAGGGTTTGGCTCCTCCATACTTCCTCAGCAGAACAGTCTCAATTTTGTGTAATCTGGTTCAAGTCATGTTTCTGACACTTGCAATTAAAAGGCTCCTGACTGATAATACTGATACGGAAATATAACATTTATATAAATGTGCCAGAACAGTTCTCTATCCCTTTAAAATCAATAAGCAACTATAAACCAGAGACACACTAGAAGGGTGGGGGGAGGGATTAGTGTCAAAATAAGGGGGGTGGGAATTGTATGGGGAATATAACCAAGATGAAAATGCATACATTGTGCAAAAATGAAAAAATGATGTAAAAATATATAAAATAAAATAAAAAATCATCTCAAAGGTATAACAATGGTATGTTATGTTCTTGCTTAACCATTTATTTAAAAAATGTTTTTGTTTACAAATTTCAAGCAAATAGACATAAGAACTCAAGAAAAGTAGCATATGTGAAGCAGAAAGTATCCAGGAACAGAAAAAGAACTTATTAAGGTTTTAAAAATATTGTTCTCACCCCAAGAGTTAGTACTTATTTTCCTTTTAGTACAATTTCCCCACAATAGTACTCTAGTACTTTACTATTACTATAGCATTATTTGTATATTAGCATTACTATAACTTTAGTACTTCACTGTCACTAATGCTATATGACTATAGCATCAATCATATATTAATATTTTACCAGCACTATTGCTACTAGCATTAGTATAGAGTTAACTGTACATTAACGTTACTATGACTATAATACTCTACCATTCCTCTAGCACTAATATATTACCATAATATAGTACTTTGCTATTGCATTACAATTCCCATTAGGGTTATTATAGTATTAATAAAATATCAGTGTTACTATTACTACAGTACTTTATTATTTGGTAGCATTTAGTATTATTTAGTTCAATTTTCTTTCAAAGTGCTTTAGTGTTCTATAAAATAATTCCAGGAAAGTGTCTCACAATATCCGGAGTAAGTTATGTCCAGGGCCCCATTATTGGTTATCCAGACACAGTGTGAGTGTCAGGAGAGTACCCTGTGCTGAGGAGGGTTGCAGAGAAGGTCCTCTCCAGAGCCATGGCAGAAACTCGGGATTCACTCACTAGTCATGGGGTCATAGGAGCAAACCAAGTCCAAAGAGCTTACAAATAATGAAAATTGAGTCTTTTCTTACTTCTCAGGGAAAAAAACAAACACAGCAATAGGCTTCCCTGGAAGGTAGAGTGGGGAGGACCAGGCTGTGGCAGTTAGAAGGGGCGGCGGCTGATCAAGGGTTGACAACCATATCTTGGTCCCAGAGGGCCGAGTGACAGGTCTGCAAGTTGTCCCTTCAGACAGGCCCCCTTGCTCATGGGTGGGTGAGAGCCTTCAGTTAGGCTGGGGAGGGTGTAGCGGTGGCAGCCCCTCCGTGCTGAAGGCCTTTAACAGCTTCAACATGTCAGCACCAATTGATGGAGAGAATGACATTCAGTTCAGTTTCCTTGGTGAGTTACTGGAGTGGAAAACATTCCTTTTACATGAATCATTCATTTATTTGGTTGGTTAGGGAGGCTTCTGCTCAGGCAATGTTTCAGGCTTTGTCTAAATATATTACACCAGCCTGTCCACACGGGGCTTGGACTCTAAGAGAGGGTGAGAATCATGCTAAAAAATTACAAAAGTGTAAATAGATTTCACTTGAAGTGTCTCTTCAAAGCAGACTTGGACACAAAAGCATGAGAGGTCATTTCTACCTGGGGCTACCTGGAAAGGTTTCCCAGTGCAGGTGATCCTGGGTCCTGAGGCTTTGCTTTTCAATAGGCTCTGCTTTTCACTCCTTAGCTCATGATTTAGTGTTTTATTTTTATGCTTGTGCTTCTGAGGTACAGGGACTACTCTGCAAAAAATGAGTCTTGTATGGAAAAATTGGGTAAATCCTTTACATTATGCAGGTTATAAGGAGGGGTGCAATAAGTCTGAATCTTTAAAGATTTGCAGTGGCTATGAAGTGAAAGCAGGGTTGGCAGAGAACTCCAGCAAGTCTGGAGGAAATGAAGTGGGTTAGCAGGGGCTGGTGGCAGTGGAGGTGATGAGAGGGCAAGGGACTCAAGTGACATTGAGGAGGATGAAGTCAGACACAGTGATGATTGTGATATAAGCATTTAATGCTGGGATAAACATTTAAAGCTGGGATGCAAATAGATTAAGACTGGAAGCTTTCAGCCCTTTAGGAATTTACAATCCATTTTACAAGCTGGCTCAGAGGCGGAGGCCATTGGCAAGTTGCAGCTAAAAATATAAGCCACAGATGTGTGTGCCAAGAATTACTCAGGACTGAGACTTCCTCTGCCCCCTCCATCTAGACTTAGTCCAATCCGTGTCCCTTGGGTGACACTCTGCTGGGAAGACTGGAAAAATGTGCATTAACCTCTCAAACATATAAAACACAAATGTTGGAAAAGCTGTTACTGAGCACTCTGAAGTTGACTAAATGGAATTATTATCAACCTGTAGAAAATCGGCCTGGGAATTTGGAGCGACATTGAGCTCTAAGAACTCCAAGTCCATCTTGGGTTGTGTGCACAGACACACAACCTCCAGGACCACATTTGGGCTGCTACATTTTGAGAGGAAGTTGCATGTAGAATGTCCAGGTTGATGGAAATCACGTGTTGAGAAAATGTGGACAGAAACCTAGAAAACGGAGGAGTCACATGAAGGTTCCATGGTGGTCTTCATGTGTCTGTGAGCACACTGATAGACAGAGGGCACGGGGAGCCATGCTGCTGGGGAAGCTGAGGGGCAGGAGCTTCCACTGCCCTACCTTAGGTCGAAGAAGATGCCCACATCTTGGAGGGATGAGTGCACAGAGTAGCACACTTTTCTGACCTTGGACTGATCTTTGTTCTCAGGACATATAAACCTCTTTTGAGAATACCAGTGTCCTTCACCTGCAAACAAAGCAGGTGCCATGCATGATAGGGTCCCAGGGTCACGTTATTGGTGTGTTCCCTGCCCCTCTTAAATTCTCTGTAAAGCTTCATTTCTTTAGCTTAGTGGATCTCAGCTCTTTGGGGTGTGTGTGGTCTACTCAAGCATATTTAAAGATTTATTTATTTATTCATACAAGTACTGGGTATAGTCAGAAGTGCGGGAGGGTGAGAGGATTCAC